AGATTGCTGGACGGAAGAGCGGCTGCTGGTTTGGAAGAAATGGATGAGCTTATCGTGATTTTTAATTTTTCTGTTATATTAACTTTCCTAAGAAAGTGAATAACACCCTCCTAGATGGGTTTAAGATTACCTCAAAATATGGTAATGTGAAACTCATGGGCTTCACTTTTCTAGGTATTAAAAAAGTCGAATAATTGTACTAAAAAATTTAAAAGATTTTCATTCTCATTCTTGAGATTACTCCATACCAAACGTCCCCTAATAGATGTTAAAAAACTAAAATTTTAATAAGAAAATATAGATTAATACTTAAAAAAAAAAAACGTTGAGACCTCAGAAGCTAAAATGAAAGCCCAGATTCTAATGGAGCTGCCCAACTAATGGATTGATGACCCTAAACCCCACCTCGGCAGCAATCCCCTTTCCCTCCCTCCATTTCCCACTATTTCCATAGATCTCCGACCACCATTCCTTCATCCTCCCAACTAAGATGGATGGTTTAGATTAATCTAAATTTTTTATTAATATTTTATTTTATGAGTTGTGCATATATAATACCAGAGATTAATCTAAAATTTGTATTAATATTTTATTTTATTATTAGTGCATAATGCCCCTTTATAACTCCACATGTGACTGGCATATGGTCACTTCCTTTAGTTTTTTAACATCTGTTAGTGAAATGGAGATAATTTTAACAGTTACACAAGTGAGGAGGTTAATTATTAAAAGATTAATTTGTTAAAGCACGATAAATTCATATTACAAATGTGTTAAAACTTTTTTTTTTAATATTAAAGGAACTTAATAGCTGAGTTAAAAGAAAAAAAAATTAGATTTTTTTAGAGCTAATTCCAAGGATTGATTCTCAGTTTTTTTTTTTTTTTTTTTTTTTTTTTTTTTTTTTTTTTTTTTAATACGCCCTCATCATAATTTATTACTTTTACCCATGAATAGAGTGAGTCTATTGTTACAAGTTTAACAAGAAAATCAAGAGTTAAAGTGTTTTCTCTTTTTTTTCTCTCATTATAAACGTTTAAAGTTTCTTGAATAGATTATGTGCATTTTCAAAAAATAACAAATTTATGTGTACAAAATAAATCTTATAACAATTTTGTTTTAAATGTTAAAAGTATATAAGTTTAAGGATATTTATAATTAAGCAGTTAACATTAAATATAATAGGAGAGACAATTATGATTTAAAAGAATTGATATGGAAAAGTTATCAAATGTTAATTTTTAATTACCATATAAATAAAATGATACGGTGCATTCAGTTTATTGAATAATTTCTCCAATAATAAGTTAAAATGTTTGCTAAACTCTATTTTTACCTCACAGTAAAATCAAATAATTAAACGAGGCATTGATTTTGCCTAACAATTTCTGTTGTTATTTGATTCATTTTTCAAAAATAACCTTTATAACAAAACATAATTCTCAACCGACCAATTTTGATTATCTCCACAACAAATAAAATAAATAATTTTAAAATATTTGTTTAAAAGTTACAAATTCAAATATTTTAAATTATGTATTAAATAGAAAAAATAAAAACTAAAAACAATAAATAATAAATAATATATTTATTGTTTTCACTCACTAATTAAAATTATATATATAAAAAAAGAAAATATTTCAAAAAAAAATAAAGAAAAAGAAACGTCCCGTCCAAAAAATAAAAACGGTGGATCTTTATGAGCCAAACAGGTGGTAAAGTTTCTATTGAAGACATTGAAAGAAACCCTAAACGAAGAAACGCCCAAGTTTCGATTTAGTCGAATCGACCCACAAATAGCTTCTGCCGTTTCAGGTGAAATTCGTGGATTCGTTTTCTGATTAAAAATGACTTTCCTTTGTTCGATTGTTTCATTCAACTAAGCCAAGGATTAGATTTCTACAAGATATATATTTGTGATTTATGAGTGATGTTTATAGTTGATTGTATTCAGATGAATGATGTTTCGGTACGAAACTTAGTAAATGAGTTTCGCCATAATCATACGTGATCATCTTTGCAAGAATATATGCATTTCTTGTTATTCTTTTTCATCTACAGTTCACATAACTTGAGAACAATGGAATTCCAAATTGCATGCACAAATTGATGTTCAGTTAATTGATATTGGCTACTAGTTTTGCATTCTTGCTTTTATTGGGAAGAAAATGAGAACTGTCTTCTTTAGTTGTTGTTATGACCTGATAATTGCATTATTATTGTGTGGATTTTGCATTATTATTGTGTAGATTTTGGAATTTTGCAATTCCAAATTGCATGCACAAATTGATGTTCAGTTAATTGATATTGGCTACTAGTTTTGCATTCTTGCTTTTATTGGGAAGAAAATGAGAACTGTCTTCTTTAGTTGTTGTTATGACCTGATAATTGCATTATTATTGTGTGGATTTTGCATTATTATTGTGTAGATTTTGGAATTTTGCAATTCCAAATTGCATGCACAAATTGATATTCAGTTAATTGATATTGGCTACTAGTTTTGCATTCTTGCTTTTATTGGGAAGAAAATGAGAACTGTCTTCTTTAGTTGTTGTTATGACCTGATAATTGCATTATTATTGTGTGGATTTTGCAATGTGATGTTTCTAGTTTGACAACACAATTCGTTTTAGGATACACCTTTGTGCTTAAGCTAGTAGCTTCCTAAAAAAAATGTAGCAAATTTTGGGGGCTTTAAATTTCATTGCTTGTTTTGTTTAAAACTATGCTAGTTGCACTTGGGAGCAGTCAGAGTAGAGAAGTTTTTTTCTTTTAATTTTGGTTGGGATGTCGGAACTTTGAAGAGTCATCGTTCCATGAAAAAATAATTGATGGCCTAAGTACAGGGTACATATGTAATATGTTTATTTCGAGTGGGCATCACAGTTTATTACTCTAGGACGCACACGCAGGAAAGGCGGTCTTTCAATTCATTGGAAATCAAAAGATATTGGGCCTAACTCAACCTAATAAAACCGATTTGTTAGCGGAGAATTGTCCTCACTTTATTAAGTGGATCATGCCAATATCTCAAACCAATGTGAGATTCTAATAATTGGTCTGGCCTTTCACTTGTACGTACATTGGCTTGCTGGTGCTTGGAATAATAATCTGCGCTAGGCGCTCAATTGTAGCTTGGTTAAGTTGTTTCGTTAGGTTCAGGAGTTACAGACGGCGGACATGGGAACATGTAGTATGTCAATCACAAATCCGGAGTTGGGGGTTTATGTTTTACTGTTAAAGAGATGGCTATGATCAAATCTAACTATCTTATTACCAGAAAAATGGAAAAAGAAATGGAAAACTGATTACTCAACCAATTGAACACATGGATTTGTGGGCTTTTGATCTTTTGATGACACTAGTTTTGGTTATTTAGCTTGTCCTATTTCTTTCACTATTATGTCTGAAATAACATTTGGATCATTTACAATCCTTTACATGTTTGTTTTTCTTCTCTTGGTGCCGAGAATGACATTTGTGGTTTTAGATACTTATTCTTTCTATTGTTTTCCTTTTCTGAATTCAGTGCTCAGAGTTGAAATATGCCACCGGAATCTGACAAGTGGGGTTGGAAGCATGTCAGTGTGTTTGGGGGGTTTGACAAGGGGAGTGGTACCAAAAGGTGGAAATGCAATCACTGTAATCTCCGATATAATGGATCCTATTCACGTGTTAGAGCCCACTTACTTGGGTTCTCGGGTGTCGGGGTCAAAAGCTGTCCAGCAATTGACGGGTCTCTAAGAGAGGCATTTCAGGTTTTAGAGGAAGAGCGACTTGCTGGGAAGAAGAAGAGAATTTCTGGAGGTGAGAAGCCCAGAAAGCGCATTAGGACATCACGACCAATTCTTGCTCTTACCTGTGTCTCCAAGGAAGATGTAGATGATATAGTAGCTAGATTCTTTTATGCCAATGGACTAAATGTCAACATCGTCAATTCTCCTCACTTTCATGAAATGACCAAAGCAATTGCATTTTATGGGCACAGGTATGAGCCTCCGTCGATAGATGAGCTATCCAATTCCTTTTTAAGTAAAGAAAAAGGAAGGATTGAGAAATCTGTGGCTCTAGTTAGGGAGTCTTGGCCTCATACAGGATGCACTATACTATGTGTCGGTCGCTTAGAAAGCACGGTTGGCTGTTTGCACATTAATATATTTGTTTCTAGTCCAAGAGGTCTTGTTTTTCTGAAAGCAGTGGATGTAGATGACATTGATGGGGCAGACAATCTCTTTGTGGGTGTTCTTGGTGATGTGATTATGGAAGTTGGGTCCACAAATGTGCTTCAAATAATCTCACGACTAGAGCATGCTAATCAATTGTCAGATTCTTTTATATTGACAAAGTTTCCTCATATATTTTTGTCTCCCTGCACTTCGTACTCTATCCTCACGTTGATGGAAGAAATAGCTGAATTGGATTGGGTAAAATCTGTTGTTCTATGCGCCAAAGAAATCGAACAATGCCTGATCACATATCAACACTCTTCTCCATGCATATTTTCTCAAAATCCAAAAAGGAGCTGTGACGCGCTTGCTTCCAGATTTGCACCTTTCTTTTCTGTTGTCCAAAAGATTCTTGAGCTAAAGCAACAACTTCTAGAGTTAATTGTTAGTGAGGAGTGGAAACAGTGGAAACTAAATAATGCCCAAGAGGATATTATAAATATCGAAGCTTCCATTTTAGAGGATAGTTTCTGGAGAAACGCTAATTTGTTGGTGCAGTTACTTGAGCCATTTGTCAGATTGCTAGAGACACTTAATGTTGACAGATTTGTCATGGGTGATATTTGTAATTGGCGGGTTCAGGCTCTGGAAGCTGTGAGGGATAAGGGAGTCGATAGCGTCAGATTGAATCAATTGGAAGAACTCATAGAGAACAGATGGGATGCTTTATTTTCTCCACTTCATGCTGCTGGTTACATGTTGAATCCAAGATATTTTGGGAAAGGTCAAGCTAAGGATAAAATTGTAATGCGGGGCTGGAAGGCTACCCTGGAGAGATACGAGAGTGAAAGTGCGACCAGGCGAGTTCTTAGAGAGCAACTCAGCTCTTACTGGCGATTAGAGGGATCCTTAGGAGATGAGGATGCAGTGGATTGTAGAGATAAAATGGACCCAGTTGCATGGTGGGAGAACTTTGGTTTCGAAACACCCCACTTGCAGACACTAGCAATAAAAGTTTTGAGTCAGGTTTCAAGCGTTACGATGTGTCAAGAGATCTGTCAAGATAATTGTTTTCCATACCGAGAAACAGCCAACAGATTAGGAGTAGAGAGAGTAGAAGATCTTGTTTTTGTCCAAAAGAATCTCAGAATTCATATTCAAAGAAGTGGGTTTTCATACTTCACATCTGGATCTAGAAATGTGAATTCATGCTCTCAGTCTGGAGTCAAGGCCTTGGATTGTGCTCATGTTGATCAAGCTAAGGCCATGTGAAGCATTCATAGAAAATTATGACGAAATTGATGGTTGGGAGTCAGAATGCAATATTACTACACAAGCTTGTTGAAAATAACTGAGAGTGAAATTTGAAAATTACCAATATCATAGGCAATCATTGTGCAACTTCAGAGCCTAATGTTGACCTGGTTTCATCAATTGCATTTCCTATGGTTTCCCTCGCTAAGGTAACTTAATTATGATGACATTTTTCAGGATAGCAATGCAGTTTTCATCTCTTACTGAAGATGTCTTTGCTACCTTGTTGACAGGAAGAAAAGAAAACGGCATACCGTCTGCTTGTAGTCTATCTGGTATTAATAGTTACTACTCCTAAAGAAAAGAAGTACAAATCTTCATATATTATATCCATCAACAGTATTGAACTTGGTGTGATCTTAATGCGGTAGATAACTTGATATTTTGAAGTTTGGGCTTATGATTGTACATATGTACTGTTTCCCCATCTCTTGTTATCTCTCTTAATTTAATTCAATTGTTATGTTTCTGGTATGTCCCTTTTTTCCATTAGAGTTCTGCTCGACGCTTTAGAATATTTATATTTGGAGGGCTTCTTTCTAGATTAGTTTTTCTAATGAAGAAAATGAAAAGCAAATAATGATAATGATAACTGGAGATACTCTGCATCGTAGGAAAACGTTTCCTTTCTCAAATCGTCCCCCTCTGCCAAATTTTTTATCTCCTAGGCTTAACATGGAACATGAATCTTCATAAACCCTATGGAGGACTTAATATATTTCACTTCTAAGTACTTAGTCTCCATATAGATTTGCAATCATAGAAATGACTTCATGATTCCTTGATTGCAAGAAGAAATGTTTACTTTGTTTATCTCTATTATTCACTACCAGAATTATTAGGCCCCGTTCACTTCGCTAATTTGAGTTTAGAATTCGAGTTTTTCTACAGTAAAAAGCTCTCACAAACAATCACATCTAACTTTTTTGCTACAGTAAAAATCTCTCATATAAAATCACATTTCAACTCGAATTCTAAACTCGAATCAGCGAAGTGAACGAGGCCATGTATTCTTATCTTTGGAATAACTGCGTGTTAGAAATCTACCATTCGGTTGATGGAAAACCTTACATCTGTTACCGATGGGGTATTGGTTGGAATGACTAGGCCTTTGGTTTGCTCCTAGAAGGCCTGGGGTTCGAACTACCTCATGGCCACCTGCATGACAAAAAGTCGTAGTTTCTTGCCTTCAAAAGGTTGTAGGGTTTGACATAAGGCTCTAGTTCAGAAAATGAGTTCGGGGGATCCTTGATATAAAAAAAAATAAATAAATAAGAAAAAAGAAAAACATTACATCTGTTGGACGACTCTTAGTATTTGTAATTAAGGAGGTGTATTCTGGCTGCAGTGGCGTTGCTGCAATTGCAGCCTGATGCGATAGGAGGAGCACAAGGGCAAGCGGCGCAACCTTCAAGAGATCCATTGAGTCTACCAAGTGGTCCGGTGATAAGGCTTAAAGTCAAACGCTTCAAGAAAGCATTGAACGGGCTGGTCAACAAGTTGGAGATACGGCAAATACATGGAGGCCCAACACAAGTCCAAATCCGGATGAAGAAGAACCTAGTCACCTCAAATTGGCCGAATTGGGCCTAGGGGAATATTTGTGGCCGAATTGGCCTTGGGATTGTATAGGGTCCGAATTAGACTTGAACTAGAATAGGGTTAGCCGTGTTTGGGCTTTAGACTTAGATAATTAGATGTTTTTAGTTCTCTTTAGGGTTAAAATCACATCCTATATAAATAGGGATGTTAAACACGTTTTTAGATAGATCATTGAATAATCATATTGAGGTTTTGCATATTTTGTGCTTCTAGGTTCTTGAGAGAACTTTTTGAACTTATCAAGTATTTTCTTATGATGTTCAACAATCGAACTTATCATTAAGATTAACGGGTGATTCTTGATAATCTTGGTGTGGCATTCTTTATCTTTCGTAGTTTTTGATTCGTATCTTGATAGACAACGGATTAAGGCTCAACAATCTTGCGTCTTGAAGTTCTTGGGGTTGTGATCCGTGTTTGGTGTTGGGTCTCGTCGCGTCGTTGGCGAGGTCCATATCACAGCCCCTCTTTCTGGAGTTGAAACAACAGCAACTCCCTGTCTTATTGCTTCTGCTGGATTTGTTTTTTTTCTTTTTCTTTGCTTCCTGAATAAATAGTTAACTGCTGTAAGGGAAGATAGCGGCGTTCCTAGATAACTTTGAGGATAGTTGCTAACTTTTGACACATTAGAATAACAAATGAAAAATTACTGACCGCTGTGGTGGAATGACTTGGAATTAGACCTTTTGTTCAAAGTGTTTTACTTGTCTGTCGAGTTTTGATGGTTCTTTGGTGTTGTGCTTTTGATTTAGTAACCTTAAATTTAGATTCTCAAGTGTATTTGGTTGGAATGGATAGCTGGTCCATCTGCCCTGAATAGAAGAGTTTGGAAAACTGACTCCTAGGATTTGGAAATATGTTACAATCAAAGACAATTTTAGTCATTATGTTCTACCTAATTCTGCTTATTGGATATGATGCTCTGGTAAGTTGGTGTACTGAATTAATCTTTTCAGCCTGCTGAGCACGTGATGGACTAGAGAGGTTGTCGATAATAGTATTTGCCGACCAAGACAGTAAAAGTTAGAATGTTTACAAATTAGATTATCAAGATTTTTAATTCAAGGTTCAGCATATTAAACAGTGTAAGAGTATTATCTCCATTAATCCTTACCATTATTAGCTGTTGTAGTATATTCTATCATAAGTAGTTTTCTTGTTTTTTTGCGGGATGTAAACCAGTAAATACCACGCTTTGGTTGTTCTGCTTACTGGGTAATTTTTCTCTTTTGTGTTTTGTTTTTAGACCATTTATGCCCTTTAAGCTTTTCTTGGTCGAACTTCAAGTCTTGAACACTCTCTTCAATGGGAGAGTGGCGTTTTTGCAATATGGCGTTTTTAAAAATTTATGTAAATGTGCTGTGGATCCCATGATGGGCTAAGATATGTCCTACTGGTAGTGAATCTTTTGAACAATTGTGTTCTTATTTGATTTTGTTAAATTTGCTTGCTATTTAATTTTATTGGAATTCTTTGGTGTGGTACAAGAAATACTCATACTAGTTATATTTTTATAATGTTCCATTACATTTATTGTATTTCTTGAGTTCTGAATGTAATTTGACATTTGGTATCGTGCAACATCAAGATAGATCATCTAACACATAAATTTTGTTTAATTTTAATATAATTTTATCTTTTTGCTCAAAATTTTGATATAGTTTTTATATATATGATTGAATATAAAATTTTGCTATTTTTAGTATTTGTTCTCTACAACATAAGCACTCATGCTAAGTCATAGAATTCACTCTCTTATCAGAAACAACCTGGCTAGTGACAACAAGTCCACTATAACATATAAATGTTAAAATTTGGCTAAAAACAAATAACAAAAAAACAAAAGCAAAAAAAGCAAAACAAAAACAAAAACAAAAAACAAAACCAAAACAGGAACAAAATAAATCAAAGCCATTTGCAAATTAACAAGCATCCTTGCATAGGAATAGACTTGATTTGACATTCAATGTAAATAGATGCGTAGTATTTGGGCAAGCTTGATTGATTTGTAAGAGAAACTTGCAAAAACTGATCATTAAACACATTATTTTAGAGTTCTACTCTTTTGTTGCAATAGGCTATCATGCTGATAATAATTTGTTAAATTATAGATAATAATTTATCAAATTTTAGACAATAATATTAAATTACGCCTGCCACAGGCAAACCGGAGACTCGCCGCCGGCGACGTCTGTCAAATTATCGATAATAATCTATCAAATTATTTACTCTAAATGGGAAAAAATTAATAAGTTAATGTTGAGACTCAAAAATCTTTAATGGTATTATTTTAAGGGATATTTGTCAAAATTACGCGTGATAAGTAAACTAGTTCTAAAATTATATTTGATGTACCCCAAACGGACGCTCATGATCACTGCTGCTGTGAACATAATAGTGCTACTAAAACTACTCCTAATGTCTAGTAAAATGCTTCTGTTGCTGCTTGCACTTTCTATTGTCCAATTAAGCACCGTATATGTGGCAGATAAAGACGGACAATTTTAAAGAGAATTTAATTTAATTTAATTTAAGTTAATTTAGATAGAGCAAAGAGATAACTTTTATAAAAGGAGTTTCAGCATGAAAAACACAAACATGCCTACCTTTTTTTTTTTTTTTTTTTTTTTTTTTTGGGGGCCCTTTTTTTTTTTTTCCACCTTCATAATCCTTGGACTTCAAACCCGGTCAAATTCCTTGTATCTTTTTCGCACTTACAACATAACATGCGGGGATTTTCCTTCATTTATTGCTCTAATTATCAGAAAAACGACAAAGTTAAAAACCACTTAGGCCATGAAAGTCCATACATTTGACCAATGACATCCCCGATTTTTGGCAAATGACTTGAAACCCCCCAAAAACTCTCCGTGAAAAAAGAGATTTGACAGTTGAAATTCTCCAAAGAGTACTTGGCTCAGCCCTCAGATTGACTGGGAAGATATATAGACGTTTCCAATTCAGTCTCATTTTAGTTCTCTTTTCTTCTTCAATAGTTTTCTTTTCTAGTGAAAGGTAAACGTGTATCGTACACTCTTTGAACACTCACTAGATTAGAAAATCTTGGCCGTATTTAGAATTAATTCCGTTCTTATTTTCACGTTTTTCAAGAAAAAAAATAAAAATATTTTCAAAACGGCGTTTGGCGTAATAAAGACAAAAAACAGAAATGAAAATGATTTTTTAGTTTAGTGTAAAATGAAAGAGAAATGAAAAACGACTTTCATTTTTTGTTTTCGTTTTCTCCTCTCTCGAGCAGAGAGAGAGAGAAAGAGAGACATTAATGGGTTTTCTTACACTAAAAATAATCTCTTGATAAAGCTACCCAACGCATTTTTAAAAATGATTTCTGTCTGAGATTGAAAACGTTTTCATTTTCATTTTCACATAAAAAACAAAATCATTTTAGAACAAGTTCTAAACGCGCTCCTTACTTTTTCCCATTCTTTTTTAGTAATATAAATATGTGTTGTGAATGTATAAACTACAAATGATCAGAATCCAATTAGAAATGATCTAATGCAACAAGTTTCAGCTGGTCAGGGCTCAAGTTCTAGAATTTAGAAAAATAAATTAGAGAGGAATAGTAAGGCCTGTTTAGATTGGCTTAAAAAAGTTATTTTTGACTTATTTAATTTGAAAGTCTATTTTAAACCTGTTTGGATGGACAACTTTAAAATATTTTTAAGCACTTTTAGAACTAGTCATCTCATTAATGCTTATAAAATAAGTACTTGTGAAAAGCTTTTTTATTTATATTTTTAACCTTTAATTTGTGAACAATAAATTAAATATCTCATCCATATCCTTTTATTACATTACTTTTTATAACAATAAGTGATTTTGATTTTTTTTACCCAAACAGGTTCAAAAGCTCTTCTTAGATATAAAAGTACTTTTTCAGACACTATCTAAATACTAATTAAAAAGTCTCAACTTATGTTTATCTTTTTCTACTTTTTAAAAATACAAACACAAACTATTCTAAACGGGCCCTAAATAATTCTTATAGAGCCTATTTGGTACACGGGATTAGAAAGGACTAGATAGGATTAAAATTAATACTGTGCTTGGGGAAAATTTTATACGACTTGAATGGATAAACTATTGTCTAATTCATGCTCAAATACCCTTAGAGGGGGATTTGGCTATTCTTTACTAAAGCATGAGATTAAACACAACAAACTTTTTAACTAAAGCAGATTGTGAAAGATTTTACGCACCTAATTGTAAAAATTTTAAAATTTGGAGTTTAATTGTAATTCAAAAAAAAATAAGGGGGCAAAATGCAAATTTTATGTGACATATTTATAATTATATTTTTTGCTCTCCAAATTTAAAAAAATAATAATAATTTGACCTAATTAAAAAAATTGCAGAAAGACCCTTATCCTAATAACACAACACTAAACATGGGATTGAATTAAACTAAAATTTGATCATATCTTTTCCCATAAACGGGCAAATAATCTATTGGCAAAGGGAGATGTAAAGCTCTCTTAGGGTCAAGATTTGACATCCCAAGTAATTGAATTACCACGTCTTTTAAAATATATAAAAATATATATGGCGGATTGTCGGTTACCACATATGTAAAGATTGTTGCATGGTTTAAGCAACACATTGTGAATATCCTTCACGGCATTGCATTACTTGGCATGAATCATGCCGCAAGTTCATACATATTTTTTTGTATTATTGGGAAACCTTGCAAAAGAGCTTTTTCCTTTTTGGATTATTTTAGGCATGTTGTGGTGTATTAGGGCATCTAACTTTCACGTAGAAATTAAGAAAATAAAAGTTGTCTTTGGATTTTTCATTTATTTATTTTGCACAGAAAAAAGTGTATTTTATTGTGATTATGGTCAAGCTATGCGACGAAAAATGCAATTAAAAATAGTGCAAGAGGTAACAATAAAAGAGACTAAAGCAATTAGCATATTAACAATAAGCAGGGAAAAAGGGAATGCAAGGAAGAGAAAATCACAACAGGAGCACATTTTGAAAGATTTTGGTGGAAACTTTGAATCCCTTTGGTGGCTGAAAAAGAGGAT